TCAAGGGTTTGAAACACGACAACATTTACGGAAGCTCTTGTACAGTACATAAACAGGACAATTAACAATGAACGTGATACTGTATTTTTTTCACGGTACTTTTATTTATGTTCACGGTTTTCACTGCCACTTCTGCACCGTGAACTTATCATTGCAGTTAACAAACAAATAATTCCTGAACTTTCTTTTTCCTCCATCTGTCACCACCGTGACTAGCCTGGGTTCCAGACCCATAGCACACTAGTACTGGACACGAAGTATGCTCACTGAGATACCTTGTGTCCAGTGTGCTATGTGTCTGGAACCCAGGCTGCACCGTGACTAGTTCCGTGAGCATGTCCATTTTTCTCACACCGTGTAAATTTTGCTACCGTGAACATAAAGTAACTTGTTATCCAGGGAACAGCCACACCGTCACTAACGCCAGCCGGACCGACGGCATAGAGCTTGGCGACATAAGGTTGAAGAGGGATCAGCCCTGTTACATCCGTGGTTGTTAGCGTGTTGCTCAGGGAAATGTTTACAGCTTCCGATGGAGCATCGGCCGGTATGAGCTCCAGCACGTACGCGGCAACCTCGCCGCCTGGTGCCGCCCACATCAGGGTAGCCGAACGGTCCGTCACGGCTACCACGTGGAAATCAAGTGGAGGGTCTACAACTGTGATGAGAGGGTAAATGTAAGAAGAATTGGAAGATTTGAAACTTTTATGAAGTATTTTATGTTTTTTGCCAGCCTGTAGAGAAACCGCTTTGAACTGCCATCCGACCTTCCTGTTAGTTTGCGGTTATATAATTTCCTCTCGCTTCTCTGTTACACTACTACTCTCAAATAACTACGGAAATGAATTAGTAACAAGTAACTAAATCTACTACTACTACTACTACGTCTTCTAGATAAGTTCCCTTGACACACGTTTTCGTTACCTACCAGACAGAGTGTATTGCTGGAGACTAGCGGCGCTACCCACAAATTCTGCAGTAATGGCTGTTATGGTCACGTTGTATTCGACCCCTGGCAGCAGCCCTCGTAAATGCACTTCCGGGCGATGCACGTACAACTGGTCGATTTCCTGGCTGTCCATCCGATGATATGTCACTCGATACCCGATCACTAAAGACGACGTGACGCTCCAGGTGAGGTAAAACCCTTCCTCTGTCACCAGTGAGACCGTCAAGTTGTGAATCTCGTCCTTTCCTGCGTCTAGCAAATCATATGATCCAAACATCTCAATTTTGTTAACTGTGCGTGTGTGACTGGCCGATTCTGTACATTCCTTTTCCTACTGGCCTCCCGTAAGGCAATATGAATATAACAGGAAGTTGAGGACATAAAATGAGGCAAACGTTGTATCATTCGCTTCCTCCTAAGGACACACCAATTTAATTTGCTGGTTCTCGGATTCGCCTCTTCATTTTTTCCTGATTTGCAAAAAAAAAAAATTGATTCTTTTCCTGAATCAAGTGAAAAATGCTCATGTTTTGCCCCCCAACAGTTGAGGAAAGTCCTTTTCTTCCTAGTTGTTAAAGTTTTCTCATCTATCATTGCAGTGGTTTGATTAAAAGTTCAAAATTCAATGTTTAAATTTTAACCCAGCCTTTTGTGTTGACTTCATGGCTCATTTCCGTACCATTTAAGCCTATAATAGGATGCCTAGACCTGTTTTTATTTTTATTTTTTTTCGCCCTGTCGCTTCATATTTTTTCTGAAAAAATCCGAGAACCAACAAATTAAATTGGTGTGGCCTAACCTGCGGGAGACTATTTGGCCTCCAATTTTACCCTCCTATTAGTCTGTGCTTACACAATTTCCCCCTCACTTCCTGTCACCCAAATGGCTACGGACACATAAACACACACACACCGAAAACAGATCAAACACAGAGGCAATAAGGTCTTACCTCCTAACATTATGGTCCGTGAGTAAGATAGGTAGATGTGGCTTCGTGGCGTCATGAGGTATATCTCCAGCAGGTATGAGACTCCCAATTCAATATCGGTGAAGTTGAACATTTCTGTGGCCCATGAAACATTCCAACTGGTTGTCAAACCGTCCCTAAGATTTGTCTGTGCAACAAACACAGAGCTACGGAAAACATTTGAAAGGGTTACAAATTATCAATTGTTGATGTTTGTGTATTAACTTATGACTAGGCTTCACCGTAGATTACTAAAATGACGTGTTTTCTCGTTGTTCACGTGTATGGTGCTTTTTAGTCTGTTTAAACGGCGTACTTTTAAATGGTCGATGTTTGTGGTGGCTTTTGGCGCTGTTTTCTTGTCGCTCGATATTGTGTCGCTCTTATATCTCAAAGCTTAATCGGTATGCCAAAAAGCAGTCACTCAAGCAACTGGATATGATTTTAGAAACGTCAGACGTTTCAGCTAGTATCCACTAGCTTTCGTCAGTGACTGAGAGACCAGAGGAGAAATGCAGGTTTATAAGCACAAACTAGGAACCTACCTTAATTCACAGGGGTACTCTGGCATCTCTGATACGTTCCAACGAGCCAACAGTGTACCGGGCTCAACTTCTTCTACCAACATCCTGGTTACCTCTGTGTTCGGGTCTGAAAACGTTAGAAGGAAACGAGTTCCAATGAATCAATGTATCACTTGGTAATAAAAAATATAACTCAAGCAAGCAATCGGATAAATTCTCATACGGGACAGACGTTGTAGGTAGCATCCATGTATCTTTCATGAGTGAAACATGGTGGGTTTTATCTGAAACGTCAGACTCTTTATCTATCCAGTTATTTTCTATTAGTAATGCTCTACCTGGGTGTCTATCGTTCATCGACACTTGAGAAGTCAATGAATCAATCAATACCAACCAAATCAGTAATGACAACTCCTCACCGATTCTGTACTTAGCATTTTTTCCGCAAATCAAATTTGGAAATGGACGTAGACTGAGTACAAGAATTTACCTTCTCTGGCGTCACACGGAGTGGACATCGTCACCAGCTCAGTCACCTCGTGAAGCGGCAGTTTCCTCAGGACGTTCCGGCCATCGGAGCAGTTCACCAGTTCCACCACGCCATCCCTGTTATCAAAGCAAACTTCTCTTCCCAACACCCTCCAGCTCAGCGCGTCATCGATGACGTCAAACAGTATAGACTCTCTGATTGGTGAGCAGGTAGCTATGGCAACCGCGTCGTTGGAAAGAAGTTCAAGGCACTGTGACGTTTCTCCGTTCCGAAGAGTTCCTTCTGCGGTGTGCAGCCAATGATTCCGAGGACGTTGCGCCAAACAGGGGCCAATCTGTGGTACACTTGTAACGCCGTCCCCATACATACACGAGCACGTCATTCGTGGAGTCCATTCGAAGAGGAAATAAGCTGTGAATAAGATCATAGATTTGCAACGGTAAGAGGGGACAGATTCTAATACATACATGTCCAGTGCATTCCTACATTAGATGAACGGGAATTCATGGTAGACGTTAATTCTCTGCCTTCAGCAAAGAAAATGTATGATACATCGTCATCATTCCTTTCCATTATTTATTACAATAAGAGCAACATGAAAGGATGGAAAAATGCTGTAAATGACACGAGAAGTATTAATGAATGGGTTGTTGCATAATTCTGTTGATTGCATTGAAAATTTGTCAAACTGCACCGAACAAAATAAAATGAAAATATGCTAACTTTCGAAATGCCTCTCGAAATATGACACGCCTGGATCCGTGACCAGTCGTTCAACTCCGTCTTTTGGAGCCGCCCATTCAAACATCTCGCAGTTTCTTGTACCGGCCTTGTACTGGAAAGACTGGCAGAAAAACGCAGGTTCCTCCAAACACTTGATCGCGCAGTCAGCAAGAGACAAATTAAACGCTTCGGCGAGTACTGGCCTTGGTGACCTCCTGCCGATGTGTTGCCGGAATCGTGCGAGTGCAGGTATCAATTCAAAGTCTGTAACATAAATATGTACATGTATCTAGCTATAGTAGAAAATTTTACGCCCCAATCTGGTCTTACATGTACGCAGCTTGTCCTTGGTGTATGGGGCCTAAAGTGCGTTATGCCAAACATACCCTGGATGCCAGAACTCGTTTTTCGGGCGGCAAGAGCCCTTCGCCCGCCGCTGAATTACCGCTACGGGGGAGTGTAGCCCGGGACTAGTTGGAGGGCCGATATACTCCTCTGTGGGCGAAGATTCTGGCTGCCGAAAAAAAACGGTTAGCGGCCTATAAACTTGGCTGGCACCCAGGGTATGCCAAACAAAGAGACAGACCAAACGTGTTTCAAAGAAACGGTCTTACCTTCAGGAAAGGCCGTGATGAATTGTGCCTCAATGAAGCCGCTGGTGGAGGCAGCTGTATACATGCTGAGGACAGTCATCTTCACGGAGTCTGTTTTGGTCGTGTTGAAGACGAACTCGTCGTAGTAAACTTGCGTCACGTCGTACTGGTCACTTCCCTCACGCTGCCTGAGTTCGACCTACGGGTCGTACAGCCACATAGATTAGATAACAACTAAAGGCATTCATTTACTTAGTTGATGTAATATGATTGTTCTCCAAGATACATGTAATGGACTAACATACAACATTCACCATCAGCAGCGAATCCTGGGCAACATCCTGAGGGGAAGAGGGGCGGGAGTCTATACTACAAAATCTAAAGCTAAGAGAAGGTACTCACGTCTACATAGGACCCGTCATTGAACGTCAACCTGATTGTCCTGATTTGGCCTGTGATCCATGTAGACTGTGCGATCTTGGCTCGGTTGATGAAGTAGTATCCATCGAACTTCAGCTGAACCCACGAGCCGACCCCCTGCGAACTCAGCCAGCCGAGCTGCCCCGGCCGTGGCGTCAGCTGACCGTCAACGATGCGGCCGCAGGTAGCGGCGTTCTGTGACGCGCCGACACACCGTCCGCCACGGGACAGAGCGGCAACGTTTATTCCTCCGATATTTGCTGTGAAGGAACCAGGTGATTTGCATGGGGACTACAGTCAATCAGACCAATACCATCATTTTAAAAACCAATGGTATGCTACGCTACTCCCAACTTCTTCCACACGTTGTCAAAGATTTCACTATCGGAGTGTTTTCATGCTATTTGTGGTATGTCAGTCTGTTTGTGCTTCTGCATATGCGCATACTTAGAACTGTCACTAGCAGATATAGTGGATAGATACGGACTGTACCAGTCTCAGTACCTTGAGACGAGGATAACACAGACTTGTAAAAGTGTACTAGACCTGATGATTTTGTCTGACCCTGCTAGGATTAAGCACATGTACACACTAGCACCTCCGGGCACTTCTGATCATTGCGTAGTAGTGTGCAAACTCAACATGCTTTTATCTAATAGATGTATTAAGCGCCATATATGGTTGTATAACAGGGCGAATTTTGATTTGTTCAGACATGAACTAAGCAAGGCTAACTGGCAGAGTTGTATGTATGGATCACTAGATAACAGATGGAACAGCTGGAAGCAAAAATTTCTTCACATTGCAAAAAATACTATTCCTAACAAAATGGTCAAAGTAAATTCCAGAACCTCTAAGCCCTGGATCAGTCCAGATCTGCTTGAGATGATACGGCACAAAACGGACCTCTACCACGAGTACAAATCTTCACTATCACAGGAAGCCTGGAATAACTACACTACCTACAAGAATCGGCTCACCTCAGAGCTTCGCAAAGCCGAACGTGAATTCTATCACACAATCAGTGACAAGTGTAAGAGTCCAGACGCTTCAAAACTGCTATGGTCAGTGCTAAATAGGCTTAACGGGAAAGAAAGCAGAGGCATACCGACTCTCTCAAACAACGGTCTACTTGTAGACAAAGAGGAAGAGAAAGCTGAACTTCTGAATGAAATATTTGTAAACATTACTAAAGACTGTAACCATCCGGACAGGACTATGAAACTTCCCATACTTACCTCTAAACAGTTCACAACACTTCAAGTCACCCGTGAGGAAGTCCTGACTGTACTGCTGAGTCTTCAAGTCGACAAAGCCCCGGGACCTGATGGGATCTCAAACAAACTTCTTAGAGAGGCTGCGCCTGAAATCTGTGACTCGTTACAATGCCTATTTAACTACTCCTTGTCAACCGGAAC